GAATGTTTCAAAGGAGTAGACAGGCCTAAGACCTACCCCTGACCAGTTTTTGAAAAAAAAAGGAAAAAAAAAGGGTGGGTACAAGATGTAAAGTACCAATACACCCCTTGTGCCATATCATGGTGTATCTATACTTTGAACCTTGGTCTTAACAATAAACTTTTTTGTCTTGAAAGGACCTCTAAGAATTCTTTATAGTTTTTCTGCTTTCGTTTTTTTGAAGCATTACTTCATTAGCATAGCAAATCTAAAGTTAAGGTTGGATGTCTGAAATTTGTTTAATTTACCGGTCTGTGATTCTCAATAAAACCATGTTAGATGCATGTAGGGGTCAGTTCGATTAAAATCGAGGATCTAACTGACTATTCGATTTGATTATTTTCTCCAACCGAACCAAATTAGAGTTTAGAACTGAGTTGATCTTAACGGAATTCAGTTCAGTTTGGTTCGATTGGGCCTTGATTCTACATAAATGATAAACATTTAATAATTAATGAATAATTAATAATTAATAAGTGTTATTAATTAAAAGTTAAAATGACCCCAAAACCCAATGGTTTTAATTAATTAACTATTATTAATTAAAAGTTAGAATGGCCCCAAAGCCCAATGGTTTTAATTAATTAGGCATTATTTATTAAAAGTTAGAATAGGCCCAAAGCCCTATGCCAATGGGAAATTGCCGAATTGGTCATTATTCACAAACATTAATAAACAATTAATAATTAATTTAATTTTTAATTAACTATTATAAATTAAAAGTTAGAATGGGCCCAAAGACCAAAGGGAATTTCCAAATTGATCATTGGGAAAGATAATAATTAATTAGTATAAAGTATTCAATAAAACATTAAGTATTTAATATAATTAAAAAAACAAAAACAAAAACCGAACTGAACCATACCCAAATTAACCGAACTGAAAGCTTATTTGGTTTATCAACCTAATTTGAACACTCGTAAAAGCATGTCCATGGTTTCCCTATCTTCTCTTTTGCATTATAAATAAGCTTTTTCATTTTTACCTGGAATTCCTTTATCATTGTTATATTATTAAGAACATGCATTAATAGCTCACCTCTTTTTTGACAATTTTGAGAAGCAGCAGTTTTTGTTATGGAAATTGCTGAAGTTCACTATTTGTCTTTCATGAAGTTTCTGATATTTGTTACAAGGAGACATTGTTAGGTATGAAGAACCTGCTTGCTTTGCTGGATTTCACTACTTGTCCTTGATAAAATTTCTAGTATCTGTGATGCAGAGAAAGAAGCAAGGAAAGAATTTATGGGGAGACAAACCAATATTCTAATTCCTATACCAATTTCAGAAATTTTGGGTTATAGGGTATTGGTATTGTTTCAGTTTTATTTTTATTTATTTTCTAGTTATTGGTGTCTTAAAAACAAAGTTCTGTTTTCCATATTTTTATTTCGAAACTATCAATTTCAGAACAAGGTTCTAGTTGTTAGTATTATTTATTTATTTTCTATTTTTTATTTACTATACCAATTTCAGAACAAGGGTCTGTCTTATGAACAAGCGTTAGGAAAGTGTTATTAAAGTTATTTAGGAGTTAGAGTCCTTATTTAAGTGGTTATTGATTTGCCTTGGTTCTAAAGCAATTAGGAGTTGTTTTGGATCAATTTTTTTTAGTCCAAAGAGGAGTCTATGAAGGGAATCTGAATTAATAAATTGAATAGAATCATTGTAATTGGAATTGAAAGAGAGAGTTTTGATGAACTAAAGATTGGTTTAGTGAATTTTGGTTGTTACTAGAAATTCTCTTTTTTCCCCTTCTCTCTCTCTCTCTCACAGTTATTCCTCTCAAAGCAATCTGTCTCTTTGCTGTTTACCATAACAGCAAGAGATCTTCTCTCTCTTTCTGGTTTCTTGCTCATTCTTTGGTGGACAGAAACATTCTACTTATTCTTCCATCCATGTTCTTAATCTCTAATCACCCAAAGTCCATCACTCATCCCACGAATCCCACCACCAAATCCCAAGTTAGTTGGACCCCAACTCATCCTACATCCGTTAGGTATTAGAGCCTACCTTGAATACATGACTCCATGATTTGGTTTCAAATCATGATAATGACTACTATGAAAGAAGTCCATACTAAATTTGATGATTTTGTACATAGCCATGAAACAAAGTAGGATTGACTCCATGGTTTGGAGTAGAAAGCTGTTGCAATAGATGGCAAGTTTGAGCAGAAGTTTGCTGCAATAGATCACAAACTTGATATTTTAAATGCCATGTTGGAAGCTTATCTTATAGAGGAGGGTATTGTTATTGGTGAAAGTTCTTCAGATGTCACATGTGGAGTATCTTAGCCTATTTCTTTCACATCAAACTCTCAGCTCATTGTTCCTATGATGCCTTCTATTGCACCTACTATGCAGTAACAATTTAAACTTGGAATTGCCCTTGATGTTCCTAGTTGGTAGGAGTAGGACCCCTACTCATCCTACATCAATCTGTCAGAAGCATACTATAGGAGCATAATATTGGATGAGGAACCTAAGTGTGGGCCTGAAACTAGATATTTTGGTAAATATTTTGGCCATATAAAGATTTATATAGATTAAACAAGTGATCTGTAGTCCTTTTAGAGATAAAGGGCAGCCCAATGCACAAGCTCTTGCCAACGCAGGGTCTGGGGAGGGACAGATGTACACAGCCTTACCCCTGCAGATTTGAATAATATTCAGACTGATAGGCATTAATTTATAGTGCAAAAACTATTTAATTACAACAGAATAAGATTATCAAGTGAAAATATAGATAGCACTTAATCACTGCACTTTTCTTTGTGTCCCCAAGTGAAAATATAGATAGCACTTAATCACTTTTCAGACTATGCATCTGCCATGCATAGTCCATCAAATGGTTTGTTCCTGGTACAGAGTAAAGCAATTTAAAGAACCAGGTGTATTTCCTCCCTCAGTGCATCACAGGGACCAACCTTGTTATCATCACAAATCTCTCTTAGAATGGCTTCTTTTGGTTTGCTCTGTATGGGTTCTCCTCCCTTTGTCAGTCTGCCATTACTTATAATTTCCACAAGGATTTTGCCAAAGCTGTAAATATCCCTACACGACTCATCTTTTATGACAGTATTGAGATCACCTGACACGGGTTAGTGAAGGGATGAGAGATCCATCGTATGGATGTCCAAATCTTGCGGAATAAATGGGTGAATTTCAAAAATTTTTCTTTCCCTTCAACTGGGAATCGCATTCCCTATTTAGAAAATCATATTTTCAAGGATCATTCTTGAACCATAAACTGAACCAGATCTGAACCAAAAGGAGTAGGAGAGGATTATACCTGATATGGAGAAATAGT